TGAATAAATGAATAAAGATAGCCAGGCGTGACCTGCAGCCTTGAAGCTGTTATAACTTCTTTTTTTTAAAAAAAAAAAACATGTATGAAAATACCAGAACCGGCTTGATAAACAGAGTGAGGCCAAGCCGTCTCGCTACGTGGGTACGATCTCGCCTAATTAACTAAGCGGGGGGCTCTCTCTTTGCAATTTTGCATCCACCTTACCCTTTCTCCTTCCTCCCTCCTCACATCGGATCCAATCCCAAGGTCTATCCATCGATCATTCATGAAGGGCGGTTGGTGGGGTTATATACGCCAACAATATACATATATATATGCTTACAGTCAGTCCAAGCAAGTGTCCCTGTCCTCCAATTTGATTAACAACATCACAATTGGCTATACTCGGTAGATAGATAGCTATGGGAGGATCCAGTTGCGAAAGTTTCGACCACCTGATCTGGGACAGGAATGACGGGGAGTGGGAGAAGGTGCAGGCCGAGATGCGGCACCGCTCCGCCATCCAGCTGGTGGAACAGCTTGCATCTGAGAAACTCGGTCGTCTTTCGAACTGGATCGCTCCGATGAATATTAGCGGGTACAACATTCTTTACAGACTTCGGACGCAATCCTCCTCCTTCTTCTCCTCCTTCTCCTCCTCGACCCCAGATGTCGTAGTCCGCCGACCAATTTCCTGCTGGGCCCAATTCGCCGGGGGAAAAGGCCCCGATTGAAGCTGCAACTGTTGGCTATATCGAAAAGCAGACCCGGGTATCGACTGCTCCCGTGCTCTTCCACGGCGAGACCCCCGAGCTAGGAAACTACCTCATCATCAAGTAGGTGGCGAACAAGCATTCCATGTCGGGAGCCCTGAATGCCACCAACGACGAGCCCAGCAAGCCCTTCGTCCTGGATCCCAACATCTCAGAGGATTCTCTTGAAGACCTCTATTCCAAAGTGGCTCGCTGTCTACTCGAGCTCTCATAGCATACCTTTTCTCGGATCGGCTTCTTGCTCCAGCTCGGTGGGGGTTTGTATTCGGTGGCGGCACGTCTCGTGGCCCGCAACATGAACAATATGCTGCAGCTAGCAGGCATTCCGCGGTCGATATTCCCCCCGAGAGAGAAGACGTTCGAGAGCGCAGATGAATACTACGCGGAGCTCGCCAGGATGCATCTGGCCCAGCTCGTAGTTCAGCACAACGACCTGGTCACCTTAGCAGACGATTGCCGAAACAAGTACGTCGCTCGTCAGCTCTTCCGCAGGCTTGCAAAAGAAGGGAAAACTTCGACCTTTGGATTTGCAGAAGACAACTGGTCGGCGCAATCGAGAAGCAGCGGCTCTTTCCACCTGTATTGCACCTGTATTGCGACGACCTGAGACCAGCGATTATCCTTCTCGACGACAGCGAGGACATTGCCACTTTCATCGATTGGGAGTTCAAATATGCGGCTCCGAGTCATTTCTCGCTCGATCCACCCTGGTGGCCAGTCCTCGAAAAGCCCGACCAGTGGGAAGGCGGCACCGAGGACTGGGTTAGATTCTACGAGCCACGAATGAGGATCTGGCTCTCAGCTACGGAAACGGCCGCAGCGGCCCTGGATCTGAACGAGTGGCCGGTATTCCACACGGGGCCGACCGGCGAGACGCACAGAGCCCAAGGGGGTGTTGCCGGGGTGGTTATATCCAAAGACATCCCCTTGTCGACCTCCGTGCGCGAGAGCTGGGACACGGGCCGGTTCTGGCTCAACTACGCGGCGCGAGATCGCTGTGCGTTTGACGCCCTCTTCTGGATATTCCTGGACGAGAAGTTCTTCGGAGCAAGACGGGACAACGTTGGCAGAGAGGAGGTTTGGAAGACGAGACTGCGCCTTCTAAGCGAGGCAGAGCCGGTCGGGAAGGAACCCTTCGTAGAACGCAAGATGAGCGACACTCAGGAGCGCAAAATCATGGAGTGGAACTCGGAGGATGCACATGTGCGTCTGGCCGAGGCATTTTTCAATATAGAAAAAAAATCAAATAATGATTAATCAAAAAAAGAAATTTTAAAAGAAAAAATCGAAATAATAGAGAAGCAAGCAGTGTAATTTACATCCCGGCGACGTCCCACAGGGGGCTTACTTTTTCTTCTCGGTTCTCGGGACTGGTAAAGCCTAGCGAGCATAGATAGATAGGTAGCTTACGTATGGTACGTATGGATGGATGGATGGATGGATGTACAAGAAGAGGCTATCCTACCTACCTTACCTTACCTTACCTTACCTTACCTACCTATCCATCCATCCATCCATCCATCCATCCATCCATCTCCATCCCTCCGACCCCCCCCCCCCCCCAACTCATCTCATTATATCTCATCTCATCTCATCCCCAACAAAAAAAAAGTCCCATCTCTCTCCCACCCTCTCCCTCCTCTCCACGCGCAATCCCACGACGGACGCACTCGTGATTCACATCATCATCATCATCATCATCATCATCATCATCGTCTCCTCTCTCCTCTTTTGGAGCCGCTTGAACCCCCTCTCCCTCCCAAAAAACCCCCCAAAACCCAAAAAACCATCTACCAAGGTACAGGCGTAAGTACAGGCGTAAGTACGTAGTACTTATGCCTGCGATGTAGTATCTAGTAGTACCTACCTTTCCTATTCTCCCATACTACCGGTACACTAATCTCGCCCCGGTTCCGATTCAATCAAGTCCTTTGCAACAGGGGCAAGCATTAAGACGTGATTGATTGATTGATTGATTGATTGATTGATTGATTGATTGATTGATTGATTGATTGATTGATTGATTGATCGATTGATCGATTGATCGAAGCTCGTGACGTTTCGGGAACCGGCCATTCCCCATTCCTCATTCCCATTCCCACTCGTTACAAACTTACGAACAAGCGAAGGCATAGCGGAGCTTTCTGGGGGACTTTTGAGCGCAAGAACAGACGGAGAACAGGCAACGCATACACGCACAGTGTCTTGACAACGTCCGTGGAGCAGCATCATTACATTCACCACCAGTGAGTGAGTATGCATGCTACGACTGGGAATGAAAGTCACCAAAAGCAAAGTATGAGAGCACCAGACCAATTTAGTTTTTTTTTTTTTATATTGCAAACTCCTCCTTCCTAGCATACAGATAGCATCATCTCAATTTCCCCCCAGCGCAAAAGAATTTCGTCACAGTATCTCTCTCTCTCTGTCAGACATCTCCAACCCCACCCGCAAACCATCCCCGCAGGCGAGCACGGATCTAACTCCACTGCAAGTAGGCGGCGAATTTCACCCCTTCATCTGATTCTGTCACAAAGGCATCATCAGATCACCCAGAGATCTCCACTCTCAACCCGAAGATCCCGAACAATGTACAAAAGAAAGTGATGCCAAAGTAGCAAATCGAGGGAACAGGACCCAGCAAGTAGTGTTTTTGTACGTAGGAACGAAAGCGCGTAACACGACCACTGCGTAAATGCAGCGGATGGCCAAAATTAGGTCCAAATAACTCCATTATGACCCCATATACCAGCCCAAGCCCATCCCGGACATCCAGAACGCCACGCTGAGTCTTAAAAGGGAGTAGAGAGCGGCAAAGCCGAAGTGGCGGTTGCTGACCGAAAAAAAAAAAGAAAAAAAAAAGTTGTTGTATTGTACGTGTCATACGGCATCAGCGACCGTCTTTGCTGGCGACCGGGGCCAACATGTAGTCCATTCGACTCGATGCTGCCGAGGACGCTCGAGGTGTTTGATCTGCGTCCACTGGATCGCACTGCGTAGAAGCTGGTCGAGGAGTTTCGTTCATGTCGAATTCAAAGACGTTCTCACCTGGGGATGTGAATACTTCCGGAGGTGTCAGGCTCGCACCGCCAATTTCGGACGCTGGCGGCTGTTCTTCTGCGACCGTCGGTGGCGGCTCAATAGTATCTGCAGAGGCTGTCGTCACATCCGAACTTGAAACAATACTCCCCCGGCTGTTTGTCCGCATCATTTCTGTGCCAAGCTTCGACCCGCGATGTGTTTTTGAGACGCTTCGGGGGCTCGTCTTCTCGCGGACTGACACATCTCCCATCATCTCGTCCTCGTCATCGCCAGACTCGGCACACTCATGTCGGTGCTTCTGTAAAGACTCCCGCTTTGCCTTCATCTTTTCCATGGATCTCTGCCGCACGGGGGTTCTGGGAGTGACTTGCATGCGTCCCGGGGCAGATTCCTCGTGAAGAAGGTGCGAAGGTAGGACTTTGGGAAGGTCGCGCGGGTCTAGGATGGCATCTTCGCCTATGCCCAGACTATCACGGGCATCACTCCAGTCCTCCGTAGCTCTCCTGATACTCACTTGGATTTCTTCATTAGTCTGCGATTCCGAGTCACCAAAAGCACTGGAGTTCAGTGAGTCGGCTCGACTTGAACCCCGGTAGCTACCAGGCACTTGACCGTAAGAGCCAGCATTAGAAGTCGGGCTACCCTCGAGTCTGTGGCTCTCTTGTCGGAGGCCAGATGGCTGAGGAAACCCAAGTGGATTAGATGTGATTTGCCCCGGCGATGGAGCCTTCCACTGACACAGACGACACATGGCTTCAGTCAATTTGGATGTCGTTGGAGGCTTCTCGATCAATGCATCGAAATGATGAGGTGCCTGAAGCTCCTTCAGATAGCCTGTGACTGCAACAATGGGAGTTCCCGAGTTCGCATTCTTGGTGTCTCGAATCATGCGGGAAACGTCAGCACCATTAATCTGAGGCAATTTAAACTCCATCATGATAATGTCAAACTTGATCTCGCTCATTGCGTAACGCATAGCTTCAGCCCCGTTGGATACGGTGATAGTTCTGCATCGCAATTTCTCTAGCAGCTTCTCCATGACCATTCGTGAGACTGGATGGTCTTCACAAATGAGGACATCGAGAGGACGGAAAGCAGGTCCGTCGGCCAAGGTAATATGGGACAGGCGCCGGGAGCTTTGGCGGCGACGTTGGACACGAAGAAGAGCATTGGCCTTGTCGCCTTCGTTGTCCGATGATGAGGGTGACATGTCGAAGACCTGGCTTCGTCGCTTCCGATGAGATAAAAGGTCTTGTGGGGTAGGACTTCCTTCTTGCGAGCCAACTGTTTGGGACCGAGCGCGGGTTGACGAGTCGCTAGATTGTCTTGGCGTTTGCATCTTCTGCGGCGATAAAGCTGGAGGGGGTGGTGCTCCACCTCGACTCTTGATGGGGGACGATGCTGCAGAAGAAGCCTTTTGGAGATTTGAACCCATCCGGGGAGCCTCGAGGAAGTTACCAGGTGTCAACGAGTTGCTCGAAGGATGCGACAAGCTCGAGGAGGTGCTCGAAGTCTTGCGGCGCCCCTCTCCGGTCTGGCCGGCAACAAAGGAGACCAGTAGTGGTGAAGATGGTTGCGAGGTTCTGCTAGGAGAAGAGTTTGCCTGGCTGAAACTGGAAGGCGACGCAGGTCTGACGGATGCTTTTGCGTTGGAAAGTGTTCTCTGAACAGGCATTGGCAATATCGGGCTACCTTCCAAAGCAGGTCCCGGTGCAGTAGCCGTGCTTGGACTTGTGCCACCAGGGCTGATCGCATTCTGCTTACTCTGAGCAGCCATTGCCTCAGCTCGGAGTTTCTGTATGACGTCTTTGTTTGCCTTCTCCAGTACTGGCAAGTTCTTAAAAGCAAAATTACCAAAGTCGTCAGCAGCGACAGGTTCACTGAGTCTACGACTCTTCATGTCTCGTACATGGGGTGGAATGTGCAAAGGCATTAAGCCACGCTTGATGGAATTGACCTGGGATCTGACACGAGACAATGCATCGTGAGGTCGCTCGTGGTATTCGGCACTCGCGGTCGTAGCTGGTGGTGAGGACTGGTCTTCCATCTCTTCTGCAAAAGATTGGAGGGTAGCACCACGGGCATCGAAATATTCAGTATCCTCTAGATTTTCGGGCGCCGGAACAAATTGCGCATCGTCCTCGAGGAGCTTATCCCATTGTGTGCCTTCAAACCATTCGTGGTTCCGGATCTCATCGCCCCCACAGGCAAACTTGTCGTCGTTATTTGCACCAAGGCGGTCGCGGGGATCGAGACAGAGGAGTTTGTTCATCAAGTCCTTAGCCTCGGGAGAGATATCGAAATCTTCTTCGTCGGGCCAGGATATCCTCCGAGCAAGAATGTTCTCAAACACTTCGTCTGGTGTAGATGCATGGAATGGGGGGTATCCGTACAGAAACTCAAACAGAATGCACCCCACCGACCACCAATCACTCATCTCATCCTGGCCAACACCGTTAACTGTTTCGGGCGCCAGATAATCCGGGGTCCCAACAAATCGTCGGTTACTGTCATCAGGGTCGAACAGTGCCATAGGAGGCGGCATCATGGTCGTCTGTGGCGGCGTGTTGCGCATATCCGAGTTGGTATGGCCGTTCGTGGAATACAACGCGGGCAAGTCAGGTGAAACCTGGGCTTCGTTCTCGCTTAGTTCTTCGATCGGGGCTCTTCTCTGGTTCATCAAATGTTGAGATTGACTGTCATTGAGCGAGAAGCTGCTGAACATTTGATTCAGGGCGTCACTCCCACCACTATCACTCCGGCCGGAGATCCGTCGAGATTCCTTGTTGAGGGTATTCTCGCGGCTCAGGTTAAAGTAGGATGGTGTTGACAAGCTACCGGCAAAATCCGGAGTCATCTGAGGCGTGGATCCAGGTGAGTGGTGACCTTGAAAATCGAAGGATGTCGACCGAGATGAGCTAATAGACATCGTGCGTGCAAACGGGCCTTGCTTCAAGAGATCTGGAGCTGATTCGTTTGCCGAGCTGTTGAGAACGCGCTTCTGACGACCAATCAACCCCATTCTCGACAGACCAAAATCGGTCAATTTCAAGTGACCTTTCTGGTCGATGAGAAGGTTATCGGGTTTGAGGTCTCTGTGGACGATGCCACGGTTGTGCAGATGCTCCACGCCCAAGATGACTTCGCCAAGGTATTTCTTCGCCCAGTCCTCAGGGAGACCGCCGAGAACTTTGATGAGAGAGGCACAATCTCCTCCGTTGAGATACTCCATGACCAGATAGAGATAATCTTTGCTAGAAAAGGTCCAGTAAAGCTTGGCGACGAAATCACTTTCGCCCTGCCACATCATGATAGCTCGTTCTGCCTTCACGTTAGTGACCTGGTTCTTGGCAACCATGTCTGCCTTCTTCAAGACTTTGATGGCGTAGTAGTCGCCAGTGGATCTCTTCTTCGCGAGGTAGACGCTTCCAAATGCACCCTTACTAATCGGCTTGATAATTTCGAAGTCCTTGATTGAGGGTGGCACGGCTCGAGCTTGTGGTGCACTGGCTGTGTTCAGTCGAGGGGACGGCGGTGCTCGCGATGGATCCGAACCAGCAGCTGAAGATTGGCGTCTGTGATGGGGTTGGTGGGGAGCCAGGGAAGGAGACGTGAATTCGCTTGCAGGGAGCATAGGAGAAGCTGTAGGAGAGACGATTCCTTCGTGGGCGATTGTTAAAGCACGGGGCTTCGATATTCGCAGTGGGGATGCGGGTTGTGGAACTCGGACAGGAGATTCTTGCCTCCGTGGCGAGGATGTTCCAGGTAAGACGATGCTCCGTCGATGGCGCTGTCGAGAACTAGCAGCACGTCGAAGATCGCCGAACTCAGAAATGGGCGATTCGGTTCGCGCAGGACGAGACATCAATGAGGACCTATGGCTGCCATCGCTATCCGCGCCAGCGTCGCTCTCAAAGAAGAGCGACTGGCGACGAGAATCTTGAGACTGGGAAAGAATGCTCTGCTGGCCCATGTGCGATCTTGGTGTTGCGGACTCCTTGGGACTGTTTGATCTGGTCGACACCGCCGTTACGGAATCTCGCCGGCCTCCATTTCGACCCAACTCAGCCTCTCGTAGTGCAGCTGCTAACGAGGATGGACCATCGAATGAGCCTGTGAAGAATCCCTCATCTTGAGCAGGTGTAACCTCTTCCTCTTCGTCGGAATCAGTGAGATGGCCGGCGGCAATTTTCGCTGCTTTCCGCATAGCCTCGTCGATACAATTTTGTACAATCACCGAGAATTCAACCCGAATACGCTCGGAGTACTCGATGATTCTACGGTGGCGTAGAACAGCCTCGACCTTTGCCTTGGCTGCTTGCTCACTGTCTTGACATAGCACAGACATGCCCTGCTCCTGCTCTACGGCGTTGTTTGTAGGCGACTGCCATTGCATTACTTGCGAAATCCGCGATTCCGATTGGGGGGACTGCGTGCGGAATTCGCCAATTGGTTGAGTTGGAGCGTCCTTGATGGCTGGTGTGCTGATCTCCATAGCCGTGTCGCAGAGGTCGAGGAGCAATTCCACGATCCTGGCTTGAGGTCTCCGAACAGCAAATGACCGACTTCGCGAGTGGCCAAAGCCAGATTTGGCCTGATCTCTTGACCTGTCTGCCGATACACCTGGTGAGGCCGTCCCCGAAGACGACGAAGATGACGGGCTTGGGCCAATTGGCATTCCTTTATACTCAGCTTGCGGCGGGGCGAGAGTAGGCTGATCACCAGACGTCGGTCGAGACTTCCGAGCCTCGAGCGCATCGAGGACTTTGACGATGGCATGGCGAAGCTCAGTCAGATTTTCTTGACAAATCTGAACCTCCATCTCAGCCTTGTGCTCTTGTAGACATAACTCCGTGTGCTTCTCAAACCACCAAGGAGGAATTTGACGTTCGCAGATTCGGCAAAGAACTGGGAGGGGAGGAGCATGGTTTCCGGGGTCATCCAAACCAGTCTCAGCCAAGGTAGTAAGATAGCTTGCAAGAATCTCTGCCCCAGAGCCCAGAGAGTCGACAATGATGGCGGGGAGGTCGATTTGAATTTCTCTTGGGGCGATCCACGGTCTGATCATCCACATCGTCTGAACCCGTTAGCAGATATACTGACTGTTCTTGAGAAGATGCGACCTACGTGGCTTTCTCCTCCAGATGATCGGTCGTATACCATGATTCCCTGTCCCTCCAGCTCGATTGTTGCAGGCTCGCGGGATGACATCAATTCCTCGTCAACCTCGCCCATGAGAACATCAATCGGTGCCAGCTTCGACGCTGGGCCCAGCTCTACTGTGAAACGGACGATCTGGCTTCGGGAATCATCTTTCTTCATCGACTCCACAACCTCCGAGAAGACCTCCTTGTATTCGCCAATCAGAAGGTCCTTGATTGGTTTTCCTCGCACCGATTCAAAACCGGTGCCGATGACATCCGTCCATGACGGGCTGACCCATCTAATATTGCCCTGCAAGTCGAGGTCCATAATGACATTGAGGGTCTGTTCTGCAGCCTCTCGCAGGTCCTCCCTCTCTTCTCGAATGTCCGCGCTCAAAGACCGTTCCATCTTGCTGGCATGTGCCCGTAGTTGGACGACCACGGGTGGTGCCAGCATACTATTCTCTGCCTCCATTGTTGTGTAGATTCCTCAGAATCGAGTTCTGGCCCCACATTGACTGTGTACGTTTCACTGAAGTGGAAGATCCCTGATCGATTTGGTTCCTATACCATTCGCGTCTTCTTTCTCCGTTTATCGCGACGTGTTGAATTCCTGAGAGCCTGCCCACAGCGGCCCAGTTGTCTGGTCGACGGCCTATTACTAGCAGCGTACGGAAACTCTGGGTGGGGTTGTCGTCGCGATCGCTTTGGTGCCAAGTATGGATCACGTGTCGATGTTATTTCTGCTCCTGAAGTAGAGAGAGAGAGAGAGAGAGAGAGGAGAGAGAGAGAGAGAGAGAGAGAGAGAGGTGACTGGAGCCTGTCGAGGTAGTCGGCTTTGGTTGTGTCGAGATTGTTAAGCTGGTCTAAGATGAGATGGTTCGCCGGCGATGTAAGGCGAGTGCGGGCGGCAATGGTCGTCGGCGCCGGTGGAGGTGTTGTCGTGGAAGGAGAGAGCGAGGAGTCGACTGATGAGACTTGACTGAGAATCCCCGCTTGAAACTAGTACGCACAGGCGCGAAGGATCTTGGCTGACAGCAGGGTGCGGTGTGTCATTAATAAATTTTAATAAATTTATAAATAGCGCTGTATCAACATCGATATGATAACTCGACTTTCTCTACGGAGTGGTGGTTGCTATCGTTTGATACAGCAGAGGGTGGTCGTCTTTTCATTAACGTGGTATTTACACCGTGATTACTTATATGTATGATGTGTTTACCTACCTACATCTCATAAATCATACACAACAACGATGTGCCTAGAGTTTGATATCCCTGAAAATAAACGAACTGAATTGAACGAGTGGCTGAACTCTTGTGACTCTAGATACAACGTACCTCGACTGTCTGGACTGCCTTTTCTTTTTTGTTCCTTAATATCATGTCTTCTGGCCTGCTTTAAGGACCTCTTCCACATTTCACCTAGCATCTTCATACAGAACCGCAACACAGAACCTCAATGTTCGGATTATCGTCGTGAGGCTTTTCTAGGACATCCTTCGACTGGTCCTTGCCCTCCCTGTCACAAGCAACCGTTTACCAAGTCCGATTCCTGATTGCCGGAAACCCAACTTTGGGTATTATGCAGAGTCGTGGCCAGAACCCGACCGCACTCAGCTACGACACGGCAACAGAGTTGCGTGCTCTGACTGACTACTACTACGAATAACATCTTTGATAACAGATCTGCCGCCGTTGTTCATATAAATCCTCTTACATTGAGCTATTAATTAGTCGCCTTTATCCAGATAGACAGACAGACAGACAGACCACTCTGCAAATAGCGCCAAACCATGCAGATGCAATGCACCTCCTTTTCTTATCATAATCAATAGCAACAGATGGGACGAGTTTCATGTGCGTCATTCTCTCTCCATCTCCATCAGAGCTGCGACAAAGCTACACATCCATACTCAATCCCATCGGCATGGGGTATCACCAAGCGACCAGTATGTCAACAAAGCTGGCTACCGCATCACTTTTATCCCACCTTGACCTTCCAATGCAATGCAGCCAGCCAGTGATGCTCTCCCTGGCCCTCGCCTCTTGCAATGTAACGTCGGACCAGCAAGGGTCCGACGTTGGCCCCCACAGGGCAGCAGCGACCCCTCGCTATAATGCGCGTACTATTTGTTTATCTTGACAACCCTCGGGTCTGGGGCTGGGACTGGGACCACTCCTACGACATCTACTACTATCGAAATGTTCTTAGCAACGAACGCGTCTCATGCGGATTTCCCCGTGCCACGACCCTGGCAGCGGCAGCAAGGCTCACTGGGATAACCTCTCCATCACACCGCTGACTTTACCCAATCGCTCGGTCACGTCCGTAGACCAACCAGCCTCAACGTACGGAGTAGGATCGTCAAGACTCGGTCTACCCCACGCTGCACCTACCCAGATCCAACACCGCAAGCATGTTGGGTAAATAGTCCCACCCGGCAAACCAGGAGGTACTAAGGACCCCCCAAAACCTGTCTGCGGCTTCCCAGTCCGACACACCCTCACTAATTCTCCGCTCGCAGTCGAGTCGGCAGGCAGCGTCTCCGGTTCCCCCAGCCAAACACGGTACCATGGTACCATGGTACCACGGTAACACGGTAACACGGTACCACGGTAACACGGTAACACGGTAACACGATAACACAACAACGCCCTGCTCCCGCGACCAGGTGCCACTTCGCTGCCATGGCCAGCAGTATGGGGTGATCAATCAGAGGAGACATCCTTATACCGGTAGGTACGCTGTAGCCAGCCCTCCACGCAACAAGCAGAGACGCCCCCGTCGAAAGGTTCGCTGGCAATCTCGTTTCAAATCAGACTCCGTGCAAGCCGAGTCATAGCTAGGTACAGTACAGTACTTACCAGCGCCCGACCCCGCGGATGCAGAGACCTGCAACCCGAAATGTGGAGAGGTGTCTGCTGACCTGACGCCGCCTATTGCATGACGGGTCACGTGTACGGGCCTTACCCATGGCACACGAGGTCTTGACGTCTATCTAGAAATTCCGGGCTTGTGTAGTTGTATGGTTGTGTGGTTGTGTGGTTGTGTGATTGTGTCGTTGTGTCGTTGCTATTGTCGCGATTCCGAGTCCTTGTCCTATACTTATCCCATTGATTGTTACACTGCTGGCTCTGCTTCAGACAAGGGTTGGCAGCACCGGAGGAGAGTCTTCCGATTCAGACCTCCTGACTACTCAATTCGCCGGTCTATTAGGCGTGAAGTCTTTGATTGGTTGAGACTGCTACCTTGGGCTCTAGTTCTCTCGCTTCTCGTGTCTGCTGCAGTGCTGTGCTGCGTCTCGATTCTCTAAAGCAAGCGCCAGGCGAATACGGTAGGTAAGTAAAGCAACGAATGCCGCTCACTAGCTTTTCTCTCGTCATCTGACTCTATCCCGTGTCTTGTCTCGGCTTCCTAGACTTTTGGGTGGTAAATTGTAATTTCCAGCTCAGACACAGACACCATCTCTGAGCCCCCCGATACCGGCATAGACACTCGTGGGGTAGCCAAGTTTCAACCTTCAACCCCGCACGCGCGGCGGCAGCTGCTGTGGAGGGACGGGACGGCACGGTATGGTATGGGTATAGCATGGGCAGAGCATGGGCATGCAGCAAGCAATGCAGCTTTAGCCTCGCCAACACGATTGCTACCACTCGATCGTTCGAACCGCTTAGCGGCTGCTTGACCGCTTCGTTGGAGTCTACAAGTACAAGTACCAGTACCAGTACCAGTACCGGTCCGTGTAAGCGAGAAAACTCTGGATTGTTTTACTTTTCAATGTTGATCTCAGACCGACAGACAGACCGGCGCCTCCGCCCGTCCGGGAGGTGTGTGATATCCCAGCTCTTTTCAGATGACGTCTGCTGCCTATGTTTCTGATATGAAGCAGACAGCGAGCCGCCTCCTAGGCGATATACATACATGTCTTGCTCGCAGTGCGCAGCGCCATTGCCTACATACCCGGTGTCAGTGAGTGGTACACACTCAAGAAGCTGACCCTACCAAGAAATGAGCTTATGAGCGGCAGTACCTTCGTCGGAATCCGTCACAACGTTTACGGGTCACCGATACGAGTATAACTGCATGTTTTGCTCGATTGAGCCTTGTTACATACATCTCCTAGATTCAGATTCAGATTCAGATTCAGACACCTGCGGCCAAAGTCGTAATCAGGTATTACTGAGCAAGATGCTTTCATGCTCCAGAATTTTTTTGTTTTGTTTTTTTCATCTTCTTTTTCGGGGAGGGGGACCGGGGGGGGGGGGGGG